CATGAAGAAAGACGTGCTTTCGAAACTGGTTTATATGAATCACTATTATGATGGTTTGTTTTTTAACCAGGAGGAGTACACTATAAAGACAAATTAAAATCCAAGAAAGTTATTAGAAAAGTATCCAAATACATCTTCTTTTTTAGTTGATTATTTCGGCCTTGCCGTAATCCTGTATTATCCGACAAGCGGGAGCTGGCGGGTGAGCTGCGCGAAAATAGAAAAGAAATTATTCTAAGAGAGATAGGTGAAGTACTTAATCGCGGGTGTCACAAATGCGTAGTTGCCGTATCAAAAATTTAGTTGGGATGTGAAAATTACGTTAATAGATATGTTTCGTGGTTGTGTCATTGCGTATGTAATAAACTTATTTACCACGAAAACAAAATAAAAATAATATTGAATAAAACGTAGAAAAAATTTGTTAATAATATTTATTTTCATAAAACGTAATTAATTCTCGAAGGAAAGGTATTGTTGTATGTATCGCGGACGAGTACAACTTGTGTGTCTTACTTAAGTGACAGCGCCCACCAAAGTGGCGTGGCAGTAGCAAGTAGCAAGTAGCAAGTAAGCAAGTAAGTAGCAATGATTAGAATAAATGACGTCACTGTCATTTTGGTGTAAACTGAATCATTCGTTTTCATTGGTTACATTATGCTAGACGCGTGCTACTTGCTACTTGCCACTGCCACGCCACTTTGGTGGGCGCTCTCACTAATGATTACTAAACTAAACACAACACAGAACACATTTTCTTTGTTTATTTTTCTAAGCCGGACGGTAAACTCAAGTATTATTATCGGCCTTTTATCTTGTGATGTTATTGCTTACAATATCATATTTCGTTTCCCATTTATGAAAAATGCAACGTATTCAAATGTATAATGAAAGTGTCCAGCATATGTGTAGATAATAAACATATTGAAGAAACACATTTCAATTTTTATGTCATTTCTAAAGTCTATTTCACATGTGTATAACCAATTGCGATAATGTAAATTTTAACATGAAGAACTGTTATTTAATTTTTGTAATAACTAGCTTGTCGCTACAGATATATAAATCAATAATAGTGAACTGTAAAGTACTAATTAACTGGTCCATTGTTTACTTATTATTGACTGGTATTTTTTGTTCTGTAAGTTTTTATTTATTTATTGATTGTAATTTTATTGATTGCATTTTAATTTAAATTATTTAAATCTGAATTTATTTTGAAAAAGACTATTACACGTTTCTTGTATCTTTTTTAAATCAACTAAGACTTTATCTGCATTACCTTCTTCGGTTGTAAACATAAAAACATTGAAAATTATTTCTTGTTGAGAAGGCAAACCTTTGAGATCCCAAAGGTTTGCCTTTTAATGCACTTGCCATTTTAATAAATATAAATAATAGTTCATAATATAGGGCCACTCCAGATAAAAATGTAAATACTTGAAAACACTGTCAGAAATCTAGTACTAATATATACGATGTGAACTCCTAGTTGACTGCAATAGAAATGAGCAATCCCTTCCACTTTTCAATTTGTTCTACGCGCAACCCGCCAGCTCTCGCTTGTCGGATGAAAATCGATTCTAATCTAACTTTGTTTGTGTTTGAATAATAATTTTTTTTCAATTCACTTCCAATATATGTATTTTTGTTTTTCTTATCACAACAAAAAAATGTTGGATAATTATGAATAAGGTGAAGAATTTTTAAAATTTATTTATCACATTGTAGAAGAAAATCGTATATCGGAAAACCGGAACGTGTACGAAAGCGATATATTCGTGATAAAATTTTATCTAAAATCCAATCTAATTTTACAATATTCCATCAGTGCATTACCTTAAACAACAGTTATTGTATGCTTCTTTATTAGAATATAACCACTTTTTTGGATTGCCCATTTTTCAAATATACAGGTATAGACTTATGTTCATACATATTTTTAGGACATCTTGTTCATCACTGTTCCAGTCTGATTTTATTCCTTAATTGTTCTGTAAATAGTTGAATTCGCAATACCTAAAATTAGCACATTACTTTAGTAAGTCTTAATTTTAGTAATAACTATTCTGCAAAACTAAACTATTGCCTGTTTTATTTTTGCTACCATGGCTGTTATTTTTATTTCAGGAATAGATCCGAGATATTTATATTCCTTGCATGTTTTTGTGTTTCTAATTTCTAACTCTGCATCTTCTTCATCATCTCCTATTTTAAGATACTCTGTCTTTGACATGTTCATATTAAGGCCCCATTTTTCATATTCTTTTTTTAGTTTTCTAAACATGTAGTCCATGTCTTCCTCATCATTCGCTACGACTACCTGATCATCTGCGAAAAATAAAGTTGTTAGACATTTACCATCGCCTATGTTTATTCCCATTCCGGATACTTGTTTCCTACACTGCTCTAGCGATGATTGAATATATATTTTAAATAAGGTCGGAGATAGACAACATCCTTGTTGAAGCCCCTTTGTTATTGTGAATGATTCAGATATAAAGTTTTCTTCTTTAACGACACTTCTTTCATTTTTGTATATATTAGCGATAGTATCCACATACTCTTTACTGAGACCTACTTTCGTCAATGTTTGCAACAGTTTTTTCAAAGGTACCGTATCGTATGCTTTTTCTAAATCTACAAACAATAGGTGGGTAAATAGATTCCTTGCCTTCCGTTTTTCGATTATTTGCTGCAGAACGAATATACCATCAATGGACGATCTTCCTGCACAAAATTCATTTTGTTCTTCTCTATCTTCGTATTCTGATTCTATTCTTTTTGTTATCGACCGTACAACCTCCCTACTGAGCTGATAACAGTTATTCCCATATAATTAGAGCATTTGCGTTTATCCCCTTTCTTGAATATTGAGCTAATGTATCCAATATTCCAATCATTAGGGATATTTTGGCCTTTTAAGTATTTGTTAAATAGTTGAACCAATATCTAATATAATATTTTTGGTCCATACTTTACCAACTCAATTGGGATGTCTTCAGGTCGTGCTGCTTTACCGTTTTTTGATCTTTTGAGGGCATGGTTTAACTCTCCGTTTGTTATCTTAATTATTTGTGTATGTTCGGATATTTCTTCCATTTCGATCTCTTGGAATTTACATCTATCCTCTGTCACTAAGACGTCATAATGGTGTTTCCACTGTTTCAGATCTATTAACTGCAAGTTAAATTTTTCCTTTCCTTCCCTCCGTAGAGATTTTATCACCTTGCCAAGCTTGCCTAACTCTTGTTCCACCCATATACCTATCCACCTCTGCACATCTTTGATCCCACATCTCATTTTTACTTTTCACTACTTCTCTTTTTACATCTCGATTTAATTTTTGGTATCTTGTAATCTTCATCCTTTCTCGTTGACATTGGTTATTTGTTCCCCATATCTTCTTACGACTCTGTTATTTTCTTCTCTCCCTTTTCTGCCGTTTAAATCTCCTAATATAATGATTTTACAGTTTTATTTAATTTCAGAGAGAATTTCATTCATATTGTTGTAGAAATCGTCTTTACTTTTTGGATCTGCATCTTCCTTTGGGGCATACACTCCGACAATTACGATGTTGTGCCCATTCTTTTTCATTTCCAGTATCAGCAATTGTTCATTTACTTCAGTCCACGATTTAATATTGTTTTTAAGATTTTTTCGAATGGCAATAGAGACTCCTCACTTAGCTCTATTATCTTTACTGAATCCACTGTAGATATGTATATGTTCTTCTTACTCTTCATTTCCTTTCCCCTCTTGGTCTCGGTGAAAATACATATATCTATTTTTCTTTTCACTAATTCTTTAAATACTTCTGCTTGTTTGAATCTTAGTCCTTGTACATTCCATGTAGCCAATATCATTTTCCTTTTCCGTTGCATTTGTCGTCTTTGTTTTGATCCGAGGCTTTTGGTCGAAATTTTTAGCATTTATGTGTTTTGACAAGGGATGAGTTGCTAGCCCATCGCCTTAACCCTCCTTCTTTATCCGGGCTTGGGACTGGCACCGGCATTTACTGAGCTACTCAATCCATCCAGCACTTACCGGAGGCGGAGTTTAACTACTGGCTACTAATCTATAATTAATCTTTCTATCTAAAATATTTTCTGGGTGGCTTAATTGATTGTTATTTGTAAGTTTTTTACTGATGCTATAGGCATATTATTCTTCTTCTTCAAGTTCCACTCCTATCGGAGATTGGAAATCATTTTGGCAATTATAATTTTATTGGTTACTCGCCTGAATAGTTCAATTGAACTGCATCCAAACCATTCACGGAGATTGCGTAGCCACGAGATTTTACGTCTTCCTACGCTTCTTCTACCTTTGATTTTACCCTGCATTATATTCCTTAGTAGTTCGTACTTTTCACCTCTCATGATGTACCCTAAGTATTCCAATTTCCTGATTTTTATGGAATTTAAAACTTCGCATTGTTTTCCTAGTTGTTCGAGAACTTGTTCATTGTATTTTCAAAATACGTCAGTAACACCACATTACGAATGCTTCTAGGTTTTTAATGTTGAATTTTTTAAGTGTCCAAGCTTCAACTCCATACAAAAGGGTAGAGAAAATTTAACATTGAACCATTCTTATTCGGAGCGATATATTGATATCGCGATTACAAAAAAGTTTTCTCATTCTATTAACAGTTGACCGCGCAATTTCAATGCGGCATCTTATTTCTTTTGTCTGATCAGTATCTTCTGTGATCCATGCTCCAAGGTATTTGTACGAAGATATTTGTTCAATTTCTGTATTATCTAGTACTAGCATATTATTGTAAGAGAGCTATTTTGATAGATTGATAGCCTAGCCAGAACAGGACTGATTTTTATCTTTTATGGTCTAGTCGTTGTTGGCCCGTTTCCCTATCTCCCATCTGGAATTGACAAAATCTATTTATCTTCTACGAAATCATAAAAATTATTGTGAAAATATAATAAATTTTTACTATAATCACTGAAAATACTTCTTTTTTTTTGTTACAGATTATGTCACGGTCGTTTGTCGGGAACAGTTTTAAGATATTACAGGTATTACACGGCCATACAAGTGATGTTACCAGCTGTGATTTTGTCTCACCTTCAACTATAGTTACAGGATCCAGGTAATATATTAATTTAAATTTACTATAAAAATATTAAGTTTATAAAATAACAGAAGGAAAAATGGCCACCAAAATAAAATACAGAATAAACAATAGTCGGCATAGTTTTTAACATAAAGCGGTAATTATAGACGAACCAAAAACCTACAGGAATAATATTATAAATGTCTTCAAGTGGCGAGATCAACATAAATACTTTAAATAAGGAAACAATGAAAAGTAAAAGGCCATAACTAGAAAACGAAACAGTCGTTAGCAACAAAACTATGAAACATATATACTATTTTTCAAAGTAAAAACATTGCACGTCACAACTGACGTCACTTAAATATATTTAAAATTTCCAGAACGTCAACCTTAGAGTTCAAATTTTCCTAACACAGCTAATAATACAAAACTCATACGAAACTGCTCGATCTTTCATAGGCGTCAACATGATATAATAATCAGAAAAATGTAATCATCATTTTTTATGGAAATTTTAGAATTATATTGATTAAATAACCAAAAACATTTGATATTTTAATAATATAAATTTTATGATATACCTTTTTTAGTCTAATATTTCACAAAATATTAATTTTAAATAAATAGACTAAACAGTTGTACGCAACAGATACAGGAATAGGTGCTTCAAATTTGAATGACAGTTTAGCGTGTACCAAAATTGGTTAAGTGTTGTCACTTTTTTGGAGTTAATATTGTGTTTATATTTTGATTACTTACACAATTTGATCAATATATGTTATATTAATAAACTGTATTTATAAATACCTATTAAATCTAGATTAAAAGTTTTAAAAACTAATTATTGTTGGGTATTGTAATTGTGCTATGCTAAATTAACTAAATAGTCTGTAGAAAGCTGATAAGCTTTCAAATAAGATAGATTATTTTGAACAAGAAATAATGACGGGACGTTTTTACTATTAATGCTCTAAAAGAGGTAAGTTTAAAATTTAGAATATATAATTTTGTATTGAAATGTTTTCTTATGTATTTTAGTGTGTTGGAGTAGTCTTAAAACTAAGTGTATTTAATGTAAATATAATAGTTTGACAAAGAGTTGACATTTTAAAAATTCCTCACTTACTAACTACTCTGATGTTTTGGCAACGCTATGGGCTTCTGACGTAAATCTTGAATGACGTGCAATCATTTTTATATCAAAGATTCTATATCAAAGGATATATATCTAAGACATGATGTTGCGTCAGCGCTATATACTGTAAAATATTTTTAAAAATAAGCCAAAAGTGGAAGAGATCACGCAAAAAAACAAAACCATAAATGGACGTGTGGAATGCAAGATATACTGTAAGCAGGAAGATAGAAATGACGTAATGATATATTTACAGAAGAAAAAAAAAATTAAAATTGCGCAAGAACAAAAAATAATTGAAAAGTTTACGAAAGAAATCTCAACAAAGAAATTAAGGTAAAGTTGGCAATCTACGTCATAATAAATATTACAGCAATAACATTGCAATTTTACCAGAATTCTACAATTACAGAAGAAAAAGAATTAGAGAATTCTAAGTAAGTCCATACAAGCTGCTTGTCATACATATCTACATATATTTCTACCTTCATAGGTTATTGATTGTGTACTTTATAGAAAGGAACTGTAAAAAGGTTTTATTATTTCCCATGGATAATGAATCCCAAGTATAAAAAACGTCAGAATACTCCCATTTGTTGTTTGTTTGTGTTTAAATGACTGCGGACACTAAATCCATTCGCCAATAACTCCCATTTAAAGGAGTTCGTTTTTGAGAAAGTGGTGAATTTATCTCTATGTACTAAGGTCCATTTGGGTGACTTCTATACACTTTTTGTACATATGCATCTTATAAAAAGTTGTTCAAAATTAAATTCCCTATCAAAATGTCACATTTAAAGTTAAAAATAACTTGTTTGGACAAAAATATATTCTAAAACGACTAAAACCAAGCAAAGTAAATAAGAACACGGGCGATTTTTCCTTTTATTTCAAACAAAAACCAAATGTAAATTAAACATTTGAACAAATATATTGTTACTTATTCCCAACATTATTTCTAAAAATACAGAATGCCACAAACAAAAAGCTATAAAAAAACAAGTAATTTTGCAGAAAGCTTACTGATGCCACCAGGCTGACGCTGAAGTTACGCTAAAACGTCTTTTGACGTGACCCGTCCTTAAAGAGTTACACAATGAAATTTTTCTAAAACAAATTTTAAGACAGTTTCCACACCACCCCAGAGGTATGTCTTGTGACAATAAAGTGTTAATATTTTTTATTTGTAATTCCCATTTAAATATTTATTCCCTAAATATTTTGTGTACTCCGATCCATATATTTGATTTTTGTTATTTATATTTAACGAATTAAACATTGACAGACAACTTTTGTATATAGCAAAAAGTAGATGAGTATTTAGTTTTTTCATAATTTAATGTAAGTTTGTTTATTTGCAACCATGTTTTTATTTTGAAGTCTTATTCTGTTATAATTTTAAGATTTTTCCAATTATCGGTCTAATTATGTTTCCAACAATTTTTAGTTTGAGCATTTTAGAAATTTCTTTGTTTCGTTTAAATAAAATATTCTCGTGTATAAAACGCTCTATATATTTTTATTTCCTAAAAATACTATATTCGTATTGTTGTCTTCGAGCGCATTCGTTGTCTGTTCGAAAGTCAAACTAATACTATTATGTAATAACTAATAATAATTACAAAGCAATAGTAATTTCCTGTTATTATTCTTATGAAATGTAAATAAACTTATTCATTTTCCTGTCACAGATGAACATCCGCGAAACGACCCGCGAAAGTGAATATAAGGAATGGCATGACCCAGTAAGTAAGATTCTTTATCAAGAGGTAGTTTTTAAACTGGTACCTCTTTAAATCAACCATCCCCCATAGTAACAATACATTCCTAACAGTATGATATAGAATGACAACTGCAGGCTACATTGGGACTGCATTGTGCTCAGAGGCCAAACCGTAGCATAATAGACTGATCTCGTATCAGTGTTTTTTGCTTTGTTCTCAAGTGTTGAACTTGTGTTTAATAATAGGTGTAAGACACATATATAGGCTTCACACAGGATGGGACTATAAAAATGCTACAAGACGATGATGCGAACTGAGATTTCTCAAACAATTTTAACCTAAAAAAGATATAGAACCTAAAGATTGGTCATCCAACACTGTCTATAAGTGTTATCACTAGGAGACAGATTTACTCTATTGATAACAAAAAGCGTAACTAGTCTGACCGTTTCACACAACTGCACAATGTCATTAATTTAGGGTTTTTACAATATTATTTTTGCGCGGTAATATTTAATTGAACTGGATGTGAGCCGTTACTTCTGTATGATCTGACTTTCCTATAGAAGAACTGACTTCGAGGGATGAAATCAGCTATTCATTATTAATAAGCACTAGATCTAAAGTAGAAGGTTGGTTATTATTCCTAAATCAAGTAAGTTCTGTAATAAGTTGTATCAGGTTTGAATTTACTACAAAGCTTTTAAATAAATAATGAGCGTTTTCGGCGTCAGATAATGAAGTTATTGGCCAGGTGATCTCTGAGAAATTAAAATCTTCAATAGCGATAAAATTATCAAGAAATGATAGTTCTAGTTTTGTGAAGAAAACATTATCGTGTGCAAGTAGTGTATTAGGTGGACGATATATGCATACTAAATTAATGCAAACAGAATTTTTAGTAACAGATAATTGAATTGCATCTATTCTAGTAATATCTATTAGCTTAATGTTAATTTTGAAAGTTGTGGTAATAATATTAGATAAATAAATGTATACACTGCTACCCACACGATTTTCTCTGTCTTTACGATATATTGTATATCCATTTATATTAACAGAGGAGTCAGAAATTGTGGGTTTAAGCCAGGATTCGGCCATACAAATAATGTCCGGTTTAAGAAGTTGCACTGTGCATACAAATTCGTCAAACCTAGCGGAAAGTGAATCTAAATTAGTATATAGAAATAGCCAGTCATTAAATTTGTCAGTAGAAAAATTATAAACGAAATTTTGTGATTCTGGGAGTGCCATTGATGTATTTCATAGTTAAATCATGTTCACCGTTATTTTTGCGAGTTTCTAGCTCACTTCGGAGTTCTTTTAAATGTACTTGTTAGATGGGCGTCTTGTCGTCAATTATTGAGATTTTTTTCGTTACTTTGATTTCTAGAAGTTTGGCTTTATTTCTCAGAATATCTTTACCGTGGTATTCCGAACCCATTACTACCTTTATCATTCGTTTGATTTAGTAGATATATTAATGTTTAACTTTAAATAATTTAACTATATAAAATAACAAATAAATATAACAAAAAACTTTTTTTAAATATCATTTACAATATACGATGCTGTTACTAACGTATTTTTCTATTTTTATTCTAGCGATAAAACGGTACGAGTGTGGGATTGGAAAGTTGGATCAGGCTACGAAGAAAGATCATCATCTCCTTTAAGAGCTCACAAATATCAAGTCACGTGCGTAAGGGTCTCACCGCAAGGTTCCTTATTAGCCAGTTCTTCTGTAGATGGAACTGCGATAATATGGAGTATGCACAACTGTGTTAAACTTTATACGATAACACAAGTTAATGGAGATGCTATACGTGTATGTAGGTAAGTGGCTGTTCAAAAAGTTGTTATCTAATTTTATTATACTAAATTAACGAATGAGCCAAATGGACAAAGTTAACGGAATGCAAAAAGGAGACAAATTTTCATAAAAAGTTTTGTCTTTATCTCTTGTGGTGACATAAGCCTGTAATGCTAAACGTAACATTAATCTTGGAACATAGTGTAATGCTTCTGTTTTCTTAAATTAGGTAGATTTTCACTTATGTCACGTAATTAACATTAGCTTGACACTGTTACTTTATAAAGTTAAAATCGAGAAAAATAAGAAAGGATTATGTTGTTATGTTATTACTTTTTTACTTGATTAATGGAGAAATTCAAAAACATAACTTAATTTGTTCTAAAGCTATTTTCTTGTGGCATTGTGAATTAATTACTATTAAACTGGGAATAAGCCACAATTAAAGATAAAAATACGTTTATTGACGTTTCAATTTTCACTTCGGAAATCGTTCTCAAAATACAAACAGTAAATTAAACAAATTTTGTTTTTTGTTACATAGTGAAAAATTCTTCTAATAATTTAATTTTATCTGACTCATTTATATTGACAATTCAGACATACATTATGCATTTTAAAGTAGACGACTTTAAAATGATATTGCCAATATTGTTGAGTTGCGCTCCTGGGACGACTTTACTTATAAGATAGTTCATTCGATTACATGAAATCAACTTTAACTTGAGAATATCCGTCAGAAAAAAATCATAGCATGTAATTCGTCTTTAAAAAGACAAACACATGACATGATGACAGTAATATTCTCCTGTTAGTGATTCCATAGTAAATTATGAGGGAAAAACCAGGAAAAAAACCTCATAATACTATCCCGACATTGTAAGTATTTGTTCGTGAATTCGTGAATTTAGTTTACCTTCAACAAACATCAAAATTCTGATTTTATATGTAACATAACTTCCTCTTTCAATATTGGTAACCAGATCCTACTACATTCTGCCGAGGAATTTGCGACACAATTGGCTCCATTTAGCATAATTAGAGCCGCTTCTTTGCGGAAGTTATTAATAAGAAAATACCAGTATTAGTAAGTCAGTAACATATAGAGGATACATCATTTATGTTTTTTTTTTTTTTTTTTTTTTTTTTTTAAATAACGTTACATATAAAATCAGAATTTTGATGTTTGTTGAAGGTAAACTAAATTCACGAACACATACTTATAATGTCGGGATAGTATTATGAGTTTTTTTTATGGAATCACTAACAGGAGAATTTTACTGTCATCATGTCATGTGTTTGTCTTTTTAAAGACGAATTACATGCTATGATTTTTTTCTGACGGATATTCTCAAGTTAAAGTTGATTTCATGTAACCGAATGAACTATCTTATAAGTAAAGTCGTCCCAGGAGCGCAACTCAACAATATTGGCAATATCATTTTAAAGTCGTCTACTTTAAAATGCATAATGTATGTCTGAATTGTCAATATAAATGAGTCAGATAAAATTAAATTATTAGAAGAATTTTTCACTATGTAACAAAAAACAAAATTTGTTTAATTTACTGTTTGTATTTTGAGAACGATTTCCGAAGTGGAAATTGAAACGTCAATAAACGTATTTTTATCTTTAATTGTGGCTTATTCCCAGTTTAATAGTAATTAATTCATAACTTAATTGTTTTCAGGGTGAAAAATGAAAAATCTCATTATATTAACCTATGTTGTGTGAGTCCAAAGATTTCCTAGTTGTCCTTTATCGGGATAGAGAAAAAGAATAATAATAAAAATAGTATGTTACAAAACAATTGGTATTCTTTATTTTATTTAAAAGGAAAATTTAATTTAAAAAATTTTTTAAATAATTTTAGGAATAACTAGAAGCTCGAATAAAAATATTTATACTATCGTCAATGATTCAGATAAAACGATACCCAGGTACATGGGTATAGACACAAAGGTTAAATACGTTGGTTTTTTTATCTGCCAGTTTCACGCTTGCTGTCCCATTTTGATAGATGTATTTTATCATGTTTATATAGCGATGATCTATACGGCACTCTGTTAAGGCTTTTAACATCTTTTGATGACTTATTATGTCGAAAGCTTTTTCGTAGTCAACAAATATCATGACTTATGGCTTGTTATATTCAACTCTCTTTTTTCTATTAAGTTCTTAATTACTTGTAAATGATCATTCGTGCCATATCCTGCTCTAAACCCTGCTAGCTTTCTTGGCTGATAGAAATCCAAAATACTTCCTAGCCTGTTGGTAATAACTCTTGTAAATAGCTTATATACTTGTGACAGCAAGCTAATGGGGCGGTAGTTTCTAAGGTCGCTGATATCTCCCTTCTTATGAAGTAAGATTATTTCCGCGTTGTTCCACTGCGTCGGTGTTATCGCTTCGCAGACATTTATTGAACAGTTTAGCAAGTGTCAGTAAGATCTTATTTCCTCCTAGTTTACTGTTCTTCATCACCCGAAGCGCATTTTTAATTTTGTCAACAGTTATGTTCGGCATTAATTCTGAGCCTTAATTCTCTATCTTTGGTAAAGGGCGTCTTTCATCGGATTCACTTGTTTCATAGAGTTGTCTGTAGAAGTCTTCCACTGTTTTCACTATTTCTTCCTTATCAGTCACAATGTCGTCTTGTTTATTTCTTAACTTATGTATGTTCTTTTTCCTGTGGACATGTTGTGTCTTAGAACTTTCAGACTTCTATTTTTCTCTATCACCCTTGTTACCTCTCTCATGTTATGTTGCCGTATGTCTTTTCGGATTTCTTTGTTTATTGATTTACTGAGTTGACTAAATTCTGCGTAGTTTGTGTTATACCTGTCATTTAGTCTCCTTCTTTCTTCGATTAGATTTTTAGTGTTGACACTTATTTTCTCATGTTTTTTCTTCATTTTAGGACAGCACAACTTCTCCGCTTCTTTAAGGGCTTTTACGATACTTTCGTTTAAAACTTCGACCTGTGTTTCGTCGTTGATTTGTTGAAGGTTATCGTCAATGATGTCACGAAAGTGGTCTGTATTTTCGGGTGGGGTCCATTTACGATTATCTGATTTTATCATTTTTATTCGTTCATTCTTTAAATTAAACAGAATTTTTGCTCGATTCAATCTGTGATGGCTTCCAATTGTAAATATGTTTAAAACAGATACATCTTGTACAATTTCTTTTTTATTAGCAATTTTTTTTTTCATTTATATATATATATATATATATATATATATATATATATATATATATATATATATATATATATATATATATATAGCTTTGAGGTTTATTGGGATTTATTCAGCGGTGAAATAAGTGTACTCTTTTAACTAAGTTTCAAGCTTTCGAAAATGTTTATTTTCATCATCAGGAAAAACTGAAAATAAAGTGCGACTGTTAGTAAATCATCCTCGAAATTAGTTGTAGAAAATGGTTTTTTTTAATAAAAAACGATAAAAACTTACGTTATTGAGGTTCGTCTTTCGTGGATGTTTCACTTACAGGTGACAATATTACGCACCACTCATTGATTGAGTCAAATTTTAAAATATTAAACACATATAAAACTTTCATGGTGTATAAGACCACACTTAATAAATTATTATACTTTTTACACATAAGAAAAAGACAGTTAAAAAAGTTTACAACGGCCACGTGTGCCGGCCAACTGTTGAATGAAAGGTTAAGAGTAACTGTCATTCCTGGACATGGCAAATGACAGTACTTCTTCTTATTTCTTTGTCTTATGTAGTACTACTGTTGTTACACATCAAATTATTGACAAAGGTAGTATTGGAAAAAACACAGAATTTAATAAAGAAACTGTGAAAAATATAACGAAACCTGGAAACTTTACAATGAATCAGTCATTGAAACATTATTGAAATGTGATGATCCATCCAAATATAATAGGTAGGAGTATATAGTGCTCAATTGATTAATGTCACTCCTTTTGTTCATTGCATTTGAGTTTTGTGCAATGAATGCCATTTCTAAAAAGAGTCTTTTATTGTAATTGGACTCCGTAGCTAAAATTTTAACTGCATCGTAATTCATAATATGATGTTCTTTATTTACATGTTCTGCCAGTGCAGATCTTTCTGGGTATAGTCTACTGTCGCTACGATGACTGATTAGGCGACTGCCTAGGTTGCGTGTGGTTTGTCCCACATATATTAAATTGCAGTTGTTGCAAGGGATTTGGTAGACAACGTTGGAACAATCTTTGATGTTACTTTTATCTTTAACCTTAGAATATATGGATCTTACCGTTAATGATGTTTTATAAGCTATTTTCAAATTGGTGAAATCTTTAAAAAGTCTTGTTAGTCTTGTTAGTTTAAGTAGGTTGATTTTTATTGAATGTCTATGGTATGACCAATAGTTGAGGAAGCGTCCAGAACTATGAGGTTTTCTATGCCAGTCGATAACAAGGGTCCTTTCATTTTTCCTTTTTGTCCTTTCATATTCCTTTCGTAAAAAAGTATGTGGATGACTTAATCCTAGCTATCCCCAGCAATGGATCCACAGAAATCTTAAATGTATTTAATAGGTATGATCCTCTACTACAGTTCACAATCGAACATAAGGACGATCTATGCTCAGTCCCCTTTCTTGACACCCGGTTCATTAGAACCCCAAATAACTCCCTTGTTATCGACTGGCATAGAAAACCTCATAGTTCTGGACGCTTCCTCAACTATTGGTCATACCATAGACATTCAATAAAAATCAACCTACTTAAACAAATGAAGGCTAGAATCATTTCCATCAGTGACCCTTCTTTCCACCAGAAGAACCTAAGAATCCTGTTCAACCTGTTCATGGACAATTCATATCCAAAACCCTTAGTCACCAAAATTTTATTTAGTTTGACCCCTAACATAACACGCCGAAATGATGAGATACAAATCAATGCCACAAATGGAGAACATAATACCAATTGCTCATATACCTCACTGAAATACATCAAAAACATAACACCCAGACTAACAAGACTTTTTAAAGATTT